CATAACCCCATACACAGTCACACCCTCCCACACACCCCCACCCGAACCACAAACCCCACAACCCTCTATATGCCCACACCCTCACTCTCCCCCACACACCCCACCTACCACACCTGCACCCAACAGCCCCCCACACCTCACAACATAGACACCCCTTGCCCCCACACACAATATACAAGAGTAAGACTGGATTTTGAGCTATTATGGCAATCACCTCTAGATACACTGCAAACAAACATAAATCAGGACAAATATATTTTTAAAAATAAAATTAAAATAATTTATAGTCGATGTTTCATTGTTTTAGTATATGATTTTATTTTTGGTTGCAAGATGGCAACCTTCCCTGAAGGAGTACTTCCAGGGCAAGGGGCGGGGCACCTGTCAGGCCCTTGACAGCTCACTAAAATGTGTTAAGCAGCCCTCCAGCCAAAATAATTGCCCACCCCTGCTGTAAGGAATGGCTTCTGGCTGTGCCAACATCTCCCACCTTGGCAGCAGTGTCTCCCACAGGGATATTACGGTTTGTGCCCAGGGTACAAATCTTATCAGTTATGCCTCTGTCCCTGTCTATCGGCCATGATAGAAAACTCTCTGCTGAGTCCCAGCCATGCTTCCCAAACCTTGTCCATATCTAAGTATTCCCATTCCATGCTTGCCTATTATGCCCACCTACATCCACTCCCCTGCCTCATACCAGAAGAAATTCCTCCCTCCTCCACATTGTCCCTCCCAAGCAAACACTCCCTCTCCTAGCTTGTGGTTGTTTTCCCAATTGCATAAAACCTCCTCCTCCTCACAACAACCACCAGATTAACTTCAAAAGAACCGAAGCAGAATAGAAACAGAGAGTTATGGTTCAAATGTATGTGTAAGTTCAGTGTACTAGGACATTTTAGAGCAGAGGTTCTCAAACTGGTTTGCAAGCTCCATTCAGGTAGTCTGCAGAAAGGTTGCAGAACAATCGAGAATATCTGTACTTGTAAGACTACTGATATTAAAATATGAGTTGTGTGCTTTGATTTGTAGAACAAAAAAAAGTTTAAGTGGTCCACCGAGACCCTCAGCAATTTTCAAGTGGTCCGTGAAAAAAAAAGGTTTGAGGGCCACTGTTCTAGAGAATTCTGGTTTCTGAGGCAAATCCATTGAGAGTATTGGTTTGTACTACTGGGGTTATGCCTAATTGGAAATTATTCTCCTGGACCCTTTTCCTGCTTTTTTCTTCTCCCTCTTCAACACACATTTACTTCTTTCTCTTTGGGCACTTTAAATGGACATCAGCTACAACAAGCTAAACTGGATTTGGCCACTAAGCAGCTTGCACTAAAGCCATATACAATTTACAGTGTTCATTATGGCTTGAATTATGTTCCCACATTTAATATTACTCTGAAATTTAAACAGTAATGTCCACCTAAAATGTGCTTGAGTTTAAAGAAGTGTGGGGCCTACTTTCCAACTGAGTAAACATACAGGCCACCTAGGCCTACTTGAGTTTGAAACTCTGTGCATTTTAAGGAAAAGCTCATTTTGGACAGCTTACATCTCTATGGGGATTAAGCAGCAAACTGGCTCCTTCTGCCTCGTAGAACTCTGCACGTGAGGATTTCAAGAGGAATCCCTTAGGGCAGCATTTATCTTTATAAAGGTATCAGTGACATTCCTGCAGTAGTGTATAACGCTATTTAATGAGTTTGAAAACTCTTTCAGGGGCAAACACAAAGCTTTATACAGATTTCAGCAAAGCAACTTTACCACATTCTGGTTACCAATATACAGATTTAAAAAAAAAAAAAAAAAAGAAAAGCTTGATTTAGGGAGGCAAGAAATGAAAGTCTGATTCAATGCCCATCAAAAGCAATGGAAAAAGGCCCATTGATTTCAGTGGGCTTTGGAACAGCACCTAGAACAAGTCATACACAGAGCAGACAGGCTTTTTTCATCATTCAGCAATGCTGAAGCTGACTGTATGGGTGAACTTTTTTTGTACTTTAAATCAGATGTTTTCACAGAAGCAGTTTCACGTACTGTATTAAGAAAAGTCCATCATTTCCCCCCCTTTCTATCTGTATATTTTGTGTCTATTGAGTACAGGTTTTTTAAAATGTCTTCAGTCTGTTTATAAATTCAGATCACCTTATAGGGAACAGTTTGGGAGCCTGGGGATTAAGTCCTATTATTTTTTACAAAAGCAATGTCTTTGTAATTTTCCTTTTTGGTTATAAGGCTGCAAATCTTGCAAAGCTGTCATGCACTGCAGAAAGTACCAAGCAGCCTGCCTTGATGAATCTATAGGATTCAGGTGTTGGGCAATGCAAGTAAAAGAACTGGTTTCTGTTTGTCAAATTTTCTTTCTAGGTGCCAGCTTAACAATTATTTTTTGTGCTGTTAGGCTGAAGGAAAATCAGTATTTCCCTCCTTATATTCAGTAGCTTTGTCCATGTCATGTAAGTTCTCTGTCTGGGTTGCTTGGGGAGGCTTCTGGTACAGGGGTCGTACAAGCAGACTGCTATATTCTGTACACAATCCTCCAGCAGGCAGTTATGAAGAGTGAAACTGGCAGCGAGCAATCTGTGTGTATTTTTGTGTGTAGACCCAGTGATGTTCTAACACCATATGGAAACTGTATAGAAAAGTACAAGCTGCATTGCAGACTAGTGGTTGAAAGAGTGGCTCTGAGACAGTGTGGTACAACCTTGCGCTCTGAGTCTGGGTGTTAGTATGGGCTGTGATTTCAGTTGGTTTAGCCAACATCTCTGCCTTTTATCAATTTATACCTTGAAAGAAGCAGTTAAGGCACCTATGCCCCTGATATCTAGGTATGACTGATTCATATTACTGAGACTGTTCCCCTGAGTACTAGGATGTTGATATAGCAGCAGACTTTATGGATGTTGTATGTAGCTGAGATACTTACTTACTATGGCTTATAATGCATGCCCTGCAATTATGTCCTATTATGGGTTTGCCCAGGGTTTGTTCCTTGAGCTACAGTCTGATGGGCATGTGATAAGTGGACAAGTCCCATCTGGAAGAGGGCAGGGAAAAACAGGAAGAAAAAAAAAAATCAGTAGGCTTGTAAGGGAGGCATGGAAGACAAATAAAAGCAGAAGCTGTCAAGAAAGAAAGAAGGCTCCAGCCTCCTCCCTACCTTTAAGAGATAAAGGAAAAAAAACGTTCCCAAACTAGGTGTTTTATCTTGATGCTTTGGGAAGAAATAGTACATTAGAAAATAACTTTGCTGATATTCCTTCCCTAGGGACATTGGCTGTACTATGGCAGTTAAAAATCAAGCACACAAAAGGCATCTCACTTAATTCATTCCCTTCACTATGCTCTGCTTATTTCTCTCATCATTTCACAATCATAAGAAGTTTTTATTCTCATAGCACCCTTGTAAGGCAAGGAACTATTATCCCTATTGTACAGATACATAAGGTACAGTAAGTCATTTCTCTAGAGCTGCACAGAAAATTAGTGTCTGGGCCAGAACTTGAACCCAGATGCTCTTAGATTACAGCCTTAGCCACTTAACTATCCTACCTATCATTCCTCTTCACTAGGTCATCTTATTAATACCAACAACTTTTAACATTGCTAGAGGCCACATTCTGCACCGGGTTAAGTTATAAGGTAGATATGAACCACATAATTGGTATCTGGATATGAATAATTCCAAAATCCAGGGAGTTTGGGGTCAGGGTTTTACTTTAGCCATTGCAGAGAACAAAAGAATTTTACGAAGCTCAGGCTGTGAGAAAACCCTCATTTTTGTAATGCTTGTAGCTGGGGTTTGGGTTCCAGCTTGTCTCTATTTAACTGATCAATCATCTTTATTGTATTTCAACCAAGTGGATGCCTTGAAATGCATATTAAGCACCCTAATTTGAAAACTACTCATGTTCTTGGGTAGGGAAAACTTCCAAATAAAGAGGCCCAGGTTACCTAAATCTTCCAGTTCTTTTCTCATATTTCACTCAAGAATATTTCCATAAATGTATTGTTTGGGAAATACAAAAGTACAGCATCAATAACAGCTGGAGTCATTCAAATACAGCTTATTTACCCAAATAGAACAGCAGTGTGTGATTTCAAAAGCCTTAAGAATTGCTATGCTTTTGTACATTGTAATCAGAAACAGTTACAGTACCACCATCACATACTTAGGAAGAGCTTTTCTATTATGATTTGGGTAGTCCCTCTTCAATGATTGGCAGGAAAAGAGTTAACCGAAACACAGCTACACAATCCCCCCTCCTCCCCCCAGCAGATAAAAGGCCACAGGTACATGCTCTGTGTGGGGATTATCAGATCACAAGACTGGGCCAGCTCTCCTAGATTAAGTAATTACCTAGCACACTTTAAAAGGGAGAGGGCAGAAGTCAGCCCTTTCTTAAGATGCTTTCTATATACAACAGCTTTCAGAGAGGAGAGGAGTCTAGAACTTCTCCCCTCCCTACCCCCCTTTATGAATGAAAATAACTTTTTTCTAGAGCTAGAGAGGATGGCAGCAAAGCTTCTGAGCATTAGCCAGGAATACTTATTTAGTATTAATTTTGTACAATTTGAAAGGGGAATGTGTGAGGTTTTTCTCTACTGTTAAGTTTAAAGAACCCATCTGGTAGTTGGAGCAATCTGGCTTTTTCTAAAGGAAAAGATAATTGCTTTCAGAAGCACTTGCAGGAGCTTTTGAGAACCCTGTTCTCTAAGGAATGACTTGGCACTATCCAGAATTTGGGAGTATTTGGGCTGCACCCTTCATAGGAATAGGAGACACAAAAACCTACGTAGTCTGTGGAGACATTACATTAGAGGAAGGAAAACTTTCAGCTGTCTAATTTTGCTGCAGTTTAAACAGGCTTTTTGTGAACATCTGGGAACTCATCAATATATAACTGCACTTGTAGTTCACTTGACATATCACACATCTTTGTTCCCAGTGTTTCTGTTCAAGCTTTCCACTTCCTTTTCCCCAGCCATCCCAAATTACTTACCAGAGGTATTTTATGTTGGGGAGCAAACTCAGGATAGTAAAATGCTTGATGATTCATTAGGCAATCAAACACTTGCTTCTCATACCTGCTGAGAGATGGATTCCTTGAGATTAGGGAAGGGCTGTTTTCCAATCTTAAATGTAACGTTGTATCATGCTAACAGCTGGCTATATAAACCTATATGCATAACATCTTTCTCTTTTTGGGATTACTGCTGTCTGTATCTAATAATATGCATAGATCATCTGAATAGGTCAGTGACTGACTGACTGACAAGCAATTTTCATACTCCCTTTGAGTTAGGATCTTTATATTGGGATCACTCATTCATTACAGGTGCCTGAACACTAGGGAAGAATTTCCAAACTTTGAAATTTGACCTTTTCTGTCCAGGGATCACCAAAAGGGCATCAGTCATCTTTATTGGATTTCAACCGACTGGATGCCTTAGAATAAATATTAAGCACCCTAATTGAAAACTATGGATGTTTTCGATTTCTGTGAGCCTGTTATGTTGGGTATGGACAACTCCCAAATAAAGAGACCTAGCTTACCCGAGTCTTTCAGGTTCTTTTCTCATATTTCACTCAAGAAAATTTCCATAAATATATTGTTTAGGAAATACAAAAATACAGTCACTTGGCATGATGTTCTATCTTTTTAAAATACCATGTAGGCAGCTCTAGTGGGGGGAGGTGGTATTCTGTTCAATCACAAGGTAATGTTCATGTTATGGCATAATATTTGGTATCCCACATACTGCCAGCCCAGATTGTACTTCCACCACAGGCATGAGAAATGAGATCTTTATATGCTGTTTATATCAGTTTTACAGTCCTCCTGAGATAAGAATTCATTCCTTTTTTTAATATCGTACATTTGGGGGATAGATCATAAAGAGTTTCACAAGCAAGTTGAAAAGCTGACTATTTTATTAAGTAAATGACCAGTGAGAGATAAATGCATCCTCTTGCAGATCACATACTGCTCTCTCCAATTAAAACAATAAAGCCAAATATCCGTTAAAATGTGTATATGAATATGCTTTAGGCACCAACACTAATAGCCAAACCTGCCTAAAGGATGATCTGCTGTTGTAGCAATGTGTTGTACTCTGCAAATGCTTCATCTGCATCCAGATTGTATGTCCAGGCCACTACTGGCTGTGCTACAAGACTTGACACTAAAGCTTCCATCATGCTTTCCCCCTCATTCAGTGATAAGCATTTCATCTTGTGTGTGTTTTTCATTTAGCATAAAATAGTGGTCTAGCATAAAAATTTATTTATCCTCCTTCATAAACTGAGCACTGAGTATCAAAAGGCATTCTTAGGTAGCCCCCTTCCTCTAGATGATGCTTAACTACCCTATGCTTACCCTATCTTCATACTGGTTTTATACTACTGTTATATAATAGCTTCAAACATGTATCAGTCTTGAATGTCTATTGGTTTCTTTGCCAACCGAAGATTTTTCTCCAGACTACAATATCTGGTAACTACTTGCTGTACTCCTTTTGTTGTTGATTCTTCTCTTGGAGCATGAATCTCCTAGATGGCTATCTACATATCTTATCTACTCTGGTTGGATGCTTCTCTTCAAAGTTATCTCTTAACAGCCCTGCAAGACAAGCTGGAGCTTGATTTCACACAGTCAAATGCCATTTCAGTGATGACCCCTTCAGTACTGGAGAGGCAAAGATCTTTGATATCTATCAGTCCACCATCTTATTGTTATGCATTTCTGAAAGAAAGCTGTCTACCGAAGGAGGGAGGAGGAGGTGAGAATTCTCAAACAGCAGAAAACACAGGAAGATCTGCTATATTAGAAATAGAAGTACACGGCGTAAGTTAGGATAGTTTCTGCCAGCAAAAGGGTCACCTGCAAATACAGGTATTTTAAATCTACAGTTCAGTAAGTATAAGAGTACCAATCCCCATAGCATAAATAACAGAGTGAATGTAATTCTGAACACACATTTTGGAGCTCAGCCATGCTAATTAAAAATGTGGCCCTCTTACAGGTAGCAAAAAGGCATATCTGTTAGAAACAAGTCCCAGATCTCTGATGCGATTCACATGACTGTCATGATCTGAGATACTATTAGGCAAGACTTGGCTAGGCAAAGACAGCTCTATATATGGTCCTGTGGTTTACAGGGAGCTGCAAATACTTGCTTTAAAGGAACAGAATTCTAGCAGTCTCTCTAGTTTGTTCCAAGGAAGAGCTAGCTAAATGCATCACAACAATGAAGAAAATGCAAGCTTGACCATGAGGCAAGCTAATTACAGATCAGCCGTCTGGTACCTGAACTCTGGTCTGTGCCACCTATGAGAGAGATTATTTCACAAACAGCCAATGGAAACCAGCACATTTCAAGCACTGGAAAGCTTATCTGTGGAGAGAGAAATGCATGTATTAGCAGAGAACCAAGCTTCATCTCTACCAAAGGGTAACAGGTATATATTTTATAATGGTGCACCTTGACAGAGGCAGTAGCGTAGCTTTACGGTATTATCAACATGAAAAGAAATAAGTTGCTTAGTATGTGTAAAACCATAACTAATGTAGGCTTGAGTGACTTAAATCCACCCATGGCCATTTTTTATTTTTGTAGTCACTTTTATCACACTGGAACCAAATGATGTTACACCAAGCTAATGGCATAGAATAGTTGCAAGCCAAAAAAATGCCACAAAACTTTATCTAGCTTTCAGATACATTTTTTATCTGGGGGCCAGACTGAAAAGAAAAACTCGAGATCTGTGAAAACTTAACCAATGGTATTAACATTACCATGAAAGATATTTCCAAAAAATACTTACCAGAGGGGGAAAAACAATACACTTAACAAGATAGGACTGCAACTCTGAGAGAGAAAAATAGCTTGATAGAAGCTGTTGTATACTAAGAAAAAAGTGAGGGAACTCTTCAACTTCTAATGGAAATGTGTATATAAAACTAAATGCAGCTTACCACAACATGCTGTAGCATTCCAAGCCAATACTTCAGCAGAAAAAACAACTAGTAGAGCACATGAAAGAAAGTGTGGCATGGAAAAACTTGATGGAACACCATTGAATGGTAATGCAATTTGGAAATTTGACACAAAGATGAAACGGCATCATCACATAATCTTGAAGACATATTAAAACCTGTCAGTTAACAATGCAGGACCTAAGGGCAAACTTTCTGAAACTTAAGCCCAGTAAATTGTGTACCCCAGATGACAGTGTTTGAAACAAAGTTCTGAAATTCTATGTTGAATACTTTAGAACAGACACTCTAAAGCTATCTAGCCTGACTACCCTACCTGGAGAGTACATGGAGATATTAACTTGCTTTACAAATACTGACTTGCTCTTGACCCAGTTAATGAAGAGATCCATTTTAACAGCAACACAAGCAACTTTATTCTGTAACATCCTCAATAAAAAATAGACTATCCAGCCAGTATCATAGTTTGGGCTGCATAGATTACCAACTTCCTCCTGAGAAATGAACCACTGACTGCATCTTCAACTTACTGATCCAAAATTGCTACACGGTAAGAGAGAAAGGAAATTGACCTCATCAAATCCTCCAGGTACTGACGGAGAAAATGGAGGATAACACTACACAATATGTAGATACCTTTAAGAAAGAAATGAGGCCAAATTAGGAATGTAATTTCATCCTGACCTTCTTCAACCTATGTATCAGTAATCTGTTAACAATACCGCCACACTTGGAGCTTCCACTAAATGACTCTGAAATAGCAAGGCCTGTTCTACGCTAATTTACTCGTGTTAAGGCAGACGCAAGATTGCCTCCAAAGAAGTTTTATGCCTTGAAGAAACCTACTGCAATATATGAGCTCTGCAGGCCTACCTATAGTAGACAGATTGTGATAATTCAGGAAAAGTCCCAAAAGAACCAATACATAATAAAATGTTATTACAGAGACCGCCTGAACACAACTTAAACTTTGTAGTATTCCTGGGCCTTTATGCTAAATGCATCAGAAAGCTTCAAATTTGCTATTGAATCATTTATAAAGGGGAAAAAGAAAACCTTCTGCAGGCCACCTATGCCAGGATTGCCAACCTACAATGCTCATGCCATAAGTGGCGTGGGCAGCCTCTGTATGTGGCACATGGCTGATTGGGCAGGGGACCCATAGCACAGCAGCAGATCGAACAGGAAGAAGAAAGTGGTGCAGTGAATTGCACAGGGAGTACAGGACAGGAATCAGAAATGGAGCAATAGATTGGGGAGGGCATAAAGGACAAGGAGCAGCCCTGGGCAGAGTAGTGGATCACACAAGGGAAGGGGATTGGAATGGCACTCAGGGAGAGTGTGGGGCTAATTTTGTGGCATGTCAACCGAAAAGGTTAGCTTGCACTGTTCCACACTATCAAGAAACAACAAGTGAAATACATCTTTCTAACAAAAATGCTGCTAAAACTTTTCAGAAGTATAATCCAATTCAGTCTCTCATGATAATGACATCTAGGCAGTCAGTTACACCAACCAGAAATAAATAATGCAACAGGAAATTTACAATGATAGTTCTGCAAGCAAATACTTCACATACAGAATACCTTCAGCAACATCTTCAGCATGGAGAATCACATAGGGACAAGAACAGTCTGCTTCTGGTGCCATCTTAAATGAGGCAGTAAACATTTCTATCACAAATTTAAATAGAGGATAAAAACTAGATCTAAATGAAAAAAACTACTTTTTATGGAACTGGCATTTCTTGTATTGAGGTGTCAGACCCCCACAACAGCCAACTGAGCAATCCCACACAAAACTGAAAGGTGCTCTTGATGCTAAATCAGCACTCTGATATAACTATACTGGTAAATGCAAAGAGTAAGTTTTAAAAAACAGCAGTAAAATAGATTGTTGTCTTCAGGGGCCTGTTGCAATTACTAGTAGATCAGTTTACCAAAACAAGCTGTGCAACACTTTCAGAAAGATTCTCAATGACTACAGAACTGGGAGAAAACTACTACAAGTTGTCTTCTTTCTATGTTGGTTTTCCATAGAATATCAAGTTGAATTCAAGAAATTCCTATCTTCAAGGCATTCAATTGCCTTTGCAAAATTTTTAGATATCCTGAGTAATCTCATAAGTAAAATTTAGGTAGGATCCTCTTCTCTCAAAGCAGTACGGAGAAAGATAAGGGAATAGCTTACAACATCTTCTGAAAGCAATCCACTCATTTTGACCATGTTAATCAGCCTATCACTGTGCTGCTTTCTATATATCAGGTCCCTTTTCAGTATCCCAACACCTCTTAAATCTTCACCCTAATCCCCACATCCAGGATTATGGTTCCTATTTTCCAAATCTATTATCTACATATGCTATCATATTTTTGACTCCAGGTTGTATATCCTAAAATGGACTACTGGTAAAAGAGCCTTTTTAACAATGATTTACAGCTGCCTTTCAAAGCCTTCTTCGTTTAGCTCAGATACCACCTTTCATTTTGACCTCTTGTCCAAAACAAAACACAAAATCTAAGCAAACTTGTTTTTCTTTTTTTCCCCTTAAAAAAAAAAAAAGATGAATCGGAAGAAGGTTCTTACATTCTCCATCAAGGATTTGCTGCTTTTGTCAGTGTGCTTTCCTTGACTGCTGATTTACAGAAGTGAGATTTTTACTGAGTCATTCACAGTAGACTCATCTTCACTGCACAGCTCACTCAAGTACAGCTCACTGCACAGGATGGCTTACCTCACCTGAGAGTGGTCACTCTGGGAAGCTATAATCTAATTAATGCAACCATACTCACCAGTAGTCCATTATGTGAACCTATGGACTATGCGAGAACATACCCCTGGTTCCTTGTACTACACAAATCTGAGCTGCTCCACAGATTTTTGCCAGCATTCTGTGGCAGAACATCTCTGTCCCTTCTGGGAACACAGGTAGAAGTGAATTTAGCCCTTCAGATCACTAAAATGAACCACTTCTTGCTTGGCATGCTCCATGTTTGTTTGGTGTCTTTTCTTTCAATTGGGTGAAAAATAGCTCCAACTCTGAACAATGACCTGTGGCAACTACTGGTGTTAAAGCAACTCTCTTTCAGAAGAGAAGACAGATGAGAGAGTTAAAGGCTACTAGATGCACCAAGGGCTTTTTGACCATGTCTTGTTGCTGCACAATCTATCTGGAGTACTTAACCTAACCGGTGCGAAAACAGGCTCCATACTTGAAATAGTTAATCATCCTTTTGATCTCAGGGAATTATCAAACAGGTCGTTGTCATCCTTGTTCCTTTTGGTATGGTGGTTATTTGTTCTGTCCTTCCTGCACTTGACATCCTATGTAGTATCCTTTGCTTTTCTAGCTTCCTATAGACTGATCATAAAACTGAATCTGGAATCCAGTTTTTTCCAGCCTCATACCAGAGATGCACCATATTAGGTGCTAACCTCTGGCCAGCTGTGAGCATGCTGGAATGATGATGATCCTCCAAATACTTTTTTCTGTACAAGTGTTGCAGGAGAACTGTAGAAATGAGGCTGCTGGTGCAACAAGCAATGTGCTAACGCATGGTTCAAATGCTTAACTTGGTTACTTGGTAACTTATTCTGCAAAAGCAGAAAGAAGGTAAAGAGCTAGAAAATATGTCCATGGGGAATGGTGGGAAGGCCCTAGAGGACTCCTAGAATTTAATCATTCTTTAATATGGATGCAAGGCCAACCGAACTCCAGCTTTAACTTGCCACTTCTCAAGCCAGGTAACTCAAGTGAAAAATCACCAACCAGTGTGCCCAAGTGAGAGGTTCTTGTGTATGAAATGAGATTCTGGTCATGGGAACTTGTTGGAAAAAAAAAATACTTGGGTAAATTGTGTAGTGCAGGTCACTGTGCAATTACTTGCCCTGAATGTTGGCATTTAATTTTAAAGCCCATCTATAAGTAAGCAGACCTTTTTCATTTGCTGTTGTGTAGTGCAGTTCTAGTTTTTATTGGGTCTTTTGATAGTTCTTTAATCCTTTTTTAGATGTTAACTAATCTGTTTTGTTACCACATGTCCCTATTAACACCTCACTATTTAATTTCCTTTTACACATCAGAATTAACATGTTAATTGGAACACATAGCATCAGTTCCATGGGAAACTTCCTTATTGATCTCAACCTGTGTTGATGCTCCACTTGCACTCTTGTTCTTGTTCAGTTCCTAATGAATTACATATTCTCTTACTTTTCTTACTCTCTCAAGTATCCTGTGAAAGTGTTTTGACAACAGCTTTTCAAAAGTCTAAATAAATTGTCAACTGGTTCTCCTTTAATTTTAATAAGCACATCTTTATTATCCTCTTTCCTATAGGCCAAAAGAAAAGAGAGTATTTCTCCCATGCTGTCTAAATGCCTTTTGAAACTAATATTTGAAAAAGATGACCTTACCTCTTCCCTAACAGTAAATAAACTTGAACTGTGGACCAATGGGGAAGATACTTCCAAAAATCAACTGGGTCTGACAGCACTCAGCCATCATCCTCTTGGTATTTGGGACAATGCTCTAGCTAACTTCAGCTGCTTCTATTACTTGGATAGAGACTATGTGACGGGTAGCTAGGACTCAAGTTGTGAAAAGTTTTGTATATCAGAGTTTCTCTTGTTTAACAAATTAGAGCTTCATTTTTTTTTTTAATTCCCCAAAGCTGGTGTGCAAGGTTATTTAATAAAGAACATCAGGAAGAGATGGTCTGCCTCTGATATGTACTGAAACAAAGTATATTAGGTCTTTTGAGTGCATGGACATTCACAGATTTCATGAATTAAGGAACTGCAGTGTGTGCTGTAGCATTCCCAAGCAAGCAAATGTTAAATGTGTCATGGTAAATTTAGTTTGCAAACTCTAGGGGCAGTTCAACCTTTTCCCCTTCTACAGGCAGTGGAAAGATCTGGGATGGGAATGGTAGAAGGAAGTGTTCCTTTTTGAAGAATAATTCTTTCAGCCATTGAGGACCCTTGGAGTTGGGGGCAGAAGAACACAATTTTATTTTTCCAAACTATTTCCTTTTGTGCTGGGCAAATATTACAGTGTTGCCCTCTTGCCCCACTGCTGTCAGCCCATACCTGACCAAGGGGGAGAGGACAAAGATAAAGATCCTGTCATCACCCCCCATATCCACTGCCGCACCTGGGCCTAGGCCACCAGTAAACATTGGTGTGAGTCCTCCCCACTTGGGATAATGAACACTGGGTACAGACCTTTAGAATCTCAAGGGACATATTCATGCACCTGATGGCCTAGCTGGCTCTGAATATCAAGTGCCAGGACACTGATTCACCCCACCTCACCCTGGAGAAGCGTATGGCCATAGCCATCCAGAAGGTGCCCATGCCTGCCCTCAGATTAGAGGCCCCAATCCTTTGGGGTGAGGAAGTTCATCAAATCATAACAAATTAGGGTTGGAAGGGACCTCAGGAAGTCATCTAGTCCAACCCCCTAGTCAAAGCAGAACCAGCCCCAACTATATTATCCTCGTCAAAGTTTTGTCTAGCCAGGTCTTAAAAACCTTCAAAGATAGAGAGTTCACAACCTCTCTGGGTAACCTGTTCCAGTGTTTTTATTATCCTCCTAGTGAGAAAATTCTTCCTAATATCTAATGTAAACTTGCCTTCCTGCAAGATCATTGTCCCTTGTTCTGTCATCTGTTCTAGAGAACAGTCTAGATCCATGCTCTTTGGAACCACCCTTCAGGTAGTTGAAGACTGCTATTTAAATTCCCTTGGTCTTCTCTTCTCTAGAGTAAATAAGCCCAGTTCCCTCAGAAGTCATATGCCCCAGCCCCTGAACCATCCTTGTTGCCCTCTACTGGACTCTCTCCACTTTGTCTACTTCCTTTCTGTAGTGAGGGGCCCAAAACTGGACATAGTACTCCAGATATGGCCTCGCCACTGCTGAATAGAGGAGAATAATTACTTCCCTTGACCTACAGGCAACGCTCCAACCAGTGCAGCCCAGTATGATGTTAGCTTTCTTTGCAACAAGAGCACATGTCTCACAGTGGACAGTAAGCTGAATATAACCCCCAGGTCCTTTTCTGCAGAGCTGGTGCCCAGCCAGTGAGCCCTGAGCCTGTACCTGTGCATGGGATTGTTCCATCCAAAGTACAGGACTTTGCACTTGTCTTTGTTGAACCTCATGATATTTGTTTTAGTCCAATCCTCCAATTTTTCTAGGTCTCTCTGAATCTTAGCCCTACCCTTCAGTGTATCTACTACTCCCCACAGCTTGGTGACATCTGCAAACTTGCTGAGGGTGCACTTTATTCCTTCTTCCAGGTCATGATGTACATCTGGATGCATCCATGGGCTTCCATCTAACAGTCTAATCTTGATCCTGCTACTTGGTCATTAAGTGCCAGGATATGTACCCATTTACTAAATGTGATTTTAAATGAGAAATAAATGGAGCTGGGTAAATAATTTGCAATATTTATGGATTTTTTTTAAAGATTATTTCCTCAAAATCAGTGGATTACCATTTGCTATGTAATGGAGTAATACTATGTATTTTTTCTCATTGGTTAGATTTTTTGTTTTCTGATTGGGTGAACCCAATCACTTGTTTAACTTTCAGCCCTTCTGAATAGAAACTGGATCTTTTTCTGGAGGATGTATTT